GCCATAGCAAGTTGGCTGTGGTGAGTTGGCCATGGTGAGCTGGTGGTAGTGAATTGGCTGTGGTGAGGTGGCTGTGGTGAATCGGCCGTGGTGAGGTGGCCATAGCAAGTCAGCCATGGCAAGTTGGCTTGCTCTTGAGTTGCCATAAGAAAGAGCGTGTGGGGAAGAACTGAAGGAGAAGCTCGGTTGCTGTGACCAGAAGCACATTCCACGTATACCTTTCTCCAGATTGTGTCTCCAGTTACCAGAGCCAGCCAGAGAGGAGTGTTTTTCTACAGCCTGTGAGAAAGTGCTTCTTGGAGAATGTGATTTATGACACACCCTGGGAGGAGTGGACAAACGGGGTCATAGGTGGGCAGTAAATTACGTAGGTCAGAGCCGACTGGGAAAAGTGCCGAAGCGTTGCTCCTAATAAATAATTGGATTTCTTTTGAAACTTGGCTCGAGGCTGATGAATTAATTAGGGCATCCCTTGGAACCCTGACACTGGTGAAACCATGGTGAATTGCCCATGGCACGTTGGATGTGGTGAGTTGGCCACGGCGAATTGTCATGGACTCTCCCGGGACCCCTACAAGCTTTGATCCCCTCCCACTTATGGGGCCACTTACGCCTGACTCTCCAGGGGCAGCAACGGATCGATGCACTCAGCCAGGGGAACGCTGGACTCGGGGCTCTGCGGCCGGCCAAACTTCAGGTGCTTCGGCGGATGCGGCCAGTGCTCTTTTGGGGCTGAGGAGGAGGAAGAGGAGGAGGAGGGAGAGGTCCGGTCCCACTCGGGGGCTTCGAACTGCGCTGTGGGAGGAGTAGGACAGACCCTTAGGCGGATGGAGAGGCGTCTCGAAGGAGCCAACGGGCACTTCTTCTGCCGGAAAAGGTTCCCTGATTGGCTAGCAGGGTCCCATGGGGAAGGAGGTCAAAAAAGTCAAGATGGTGACTGTGCAGAGCAAGCTCCGCCCATTTCTTACATGCCCTCTGGCCATCCACTGCCATCTTGACTTTTCCCAGCAATGGGAAGGGGAGGTTAAAATGCTGACTGCATGGTTTTTTTAATATATTTTTCTGGGTTTTGTAAATAATTTAATGGAGGACAACCGGTGAGTATCCCTCCCAGGATCTGCAGAGAGGGTTCAAAAACATCAAGATGGTGGCCACAACTCTGGCACCTGTTTTGGAATATGGCGGCTGTGGCCGCCATCTTGACTTTTTTGACCTCGTCCCCCATGGACGCTATTTTACAAGCCTTTTCTTTTCAACCTCTACATAAGCAACGCTTGCAGGTTGCCACGGCAAAAATTAGATGTTTGGGCTTCTGTTTTATGTATCAGTGTGGTTGTGCCATCGAAATGCGAGGTGGGAGAAGCCGAAGGAAGTTATCTTGGCTCAGAAATTCAGCATCTGGTTTCAAAATGATTCTGTACTGCGAGATTGTGGGGAAAAAAATTTGCCCCACTCTCCCGTACAGGAAGACCTCAAATTGTGACCACAATTGGCACCGGAACTTTGGTCATTAAGTGAATCGTCCCCCAATTTTACGACTTTTATTAAAGTCGCCAAGGTCGCACCTGACAGTGCAATCGCTTCGTGAGTTGTGCCTGATTTTACAACCTTTTTTTTATCACGGTTGTTATGTGAGTCATATGGTCGTTAAGTGACTTTGCTTGTTGGAAACTCCCTGGGAAGGCCACGACTCACAAGTGACCGTCACATGGCGTTGAAAACATCTTGATTGGCTGGCTGCCCATCACAGGGATTGCAGGGACACTGTGCGCGTCATAAGGGCGAGGACTGGTTGTAAGTCACCTTTTTTCAGGACCGTCATATGTTCGAAGGGTTGCTAATGATAGTTAAATCTGGGCCGACTTTCCCTTCTTGGCAAGAAAATAGCACAACCTTAATTTCACTTTCAATCATTAAAAATTAAAATGATAGGAATACGGGTTGTCCTCAATCTACAACGGTTCTCCACTTACAACGTCATCGATTTCCCCCTTTTTCTGCTGGGTCTCAAGGGATGGCTGTGCCCGCACCTTACAGGTCGTCCTCAACTTACAGCAGTTCATTTAGTGACTGGTTAAACTTAAAGGGACATGTCCCTTTTTCCCATGTACAACTATTGCAGTATCCCCGTGGTCACGTGATCAAAACTCAAGATGCTTGGCAACTGACTCATATTTACGACGGTTGTAGTATCCCGGTGTGTGTGTGTGTGTGTGTGGTCCCCTTTTGCAACCTTCCGACCAGCAAAGTCAATGGGGAAGCCGGATTCATTTAACAACTATATTACTGTTGTGGCCTGCCGGCGGCTGACAGAGCTGGCGGCAGACTCGGACAGCGAGGAGGTTGGGGAGGAACCTGGGCCGGTCCTGTTGTCTGGGGAAGGATCTGACGAGGGCTCTTCGTCGGAGGCAGAGATGGGACCAGGGTCGCCTGACAGTTATCAGCTGCCTTCGGAGTCGGAGATCAGTGGGGAAGAAGAACAGCTGGAGCCTGTTCCCAGTGTGCTCATGCGCAGAGCTGCCAGGAGAAGGGAATAGTTAAAAAACAAGGGTCGACTCGGGAGTAAAGGCTCAGTGGATGGTGAATGGCCCCTCCCATAGGGAATAAAAAGTGGAGTGAAAGGTGAGGGGGCTTTGGCAGGAAACAATCCGATCGTTCATTCCATCACTGTGAAGATCTGTCTGTGCATCCTAGAGACTCTGTTGCTCAGCCCTTCCTTGTCAGCACTGCGTTTGGAAATATTTACCGGGCAGCTTTCCAAGATAGATAAGGTTTGAGCTCCTAATTATACCCTTGAAAGATATACTTTTTTTGCCAGGCCGTTGGTTGAAGGCGAATGCAAGAAAATCCACATTCGTTGAATAAAAGAGGTTTGGCCGGGACTCAGAGTTTGCTTAGTGCTGTTTGGGGAAGCCTGGGATGGACCAGTTGCAGTTCCTCTTTGAGGAACTGCGGCGTTTCACTTAGCAACACGGGCGAGAAAGGTCGTAAAATGGGTCAAAACTCGCTTCACAATTCTCAAAGAAATTTCGGTCTCCAACTGTGGTCGTAAGTCAAGGATTACCATCTCGGTTCAGGGATGGTGAACCTTTTTGTTAGGGTGTGCCGAAAGCATGCGCATGCCGCATCCGCAATGCAACGCAGGTAACCCCCCCTGCGCATGCCCACGCAACACCCCCACCCCACACCCTTACTTGCACTGTGCATGTGCACGCCTCCCAGTTGATTTTCAGCCCCATTGGGGGCTGTTTTCGCCGAGGAAAGCCTCTGCAGCCTTGGGAGGCCGAAAAATGGGCCTTCTGGAAATCCCGGAAGTGCCCATTTTCAGCCTCTTGGAGGGCCTTTGGAGCCTGGGGGAGGCTGTGTTTGCCTTTCTGGAGGCTCGAGGGAAGCTTCTGGAACCTTGGGAGGCTGAAAACAGGCCCGTTTAGGCACTTCCAGTATTTCCAGAAGGCCGATTTTTCGGCCTCCCAAGACTGCAGAGGCTTCCCTCGAGCCTCAGAGGGCGGGGAAACAGCCTCAAATGAGCCGAAAATCAACTGGGAGATATGCATATGCGCAGGGCAGGTAAGTTTGGGTGGGGCTTGCACGCCTGCACAAATGGCTCTGTGTGCCACCTGTGGCACGACTACCCTAGGTTCACTATCGCGGATCTAGGTTGCGGTGCCTGCAGAAAGAGGGCAAAAGGAGAACCCCAGCAGGACGACACAGGGGTGCCAGCACATCTCTCTCCTTTTTTAGGAACATGCATCAGGACACCGCACACCCACCGATCAAAGTCAGAGATGGCCCGTCATCGCAAAGTCTTGGTTTCCCGATTTTGGGAACGAAAGTTGGGGGTTTTACACTGGAAATGGGCCGTGAAAAAACGCACAAGTACAGGCAGGGTGTGAAACATGCTTTCAAGACAGGCAAGCTCATGCCACAACAACACACACACACACACACAATTGACACATGTGCGAGGAAAGGAACAATAGTGAAAGACAGAAAGGTGAGAAAAGGCAGGGAGGGGAGGAGGAATTGAGAGAATGAGAAGAAAACAATTATGTAGAATCTCTACCAAATCATAAACATTAATTCTGGGTCAATTTTTTTCAAAAGCGTGAGAGGTGGTAGCTCTTGAGGCCTCGAATTTTATTCCTGCACAAAAACTCGTCGCCAAATTTTTAAGCCCCAGGTGAAGACTACAAAAATCAAAGTGTCTAGGATTAAAAAAAAAGAAAACATTTGGATTTCATACACTTCTGAAATGCAAGTAGTCCTCGACTTACAATGGTTTGTTTAGTGACCGTTCAAAGTTACAACGGCACCAAAAAAAAAAAAAAAAGCGATGTATGACCTTTTTTCACACAACTGTTTCAAGATCCCCAGGGTCACACGATCAAAATTGGGACACTTGGCAACCGTTTTTTATTTATGACGTGTTGCAGTATCCCGGGGTCACGTGATCCCACTTCGCAACCTTCTGACATGCACAATCCATGGGGAAGCCAGATTCACTTAACAACTGGGTTTGTAACTGAACAACCGTAAGGATTCACTTAACGACTGCGGCAAGAAATGTCGTAAAACGGAGGCAAAATTCATTCAACAAATATCTTACTCAGCAACAGAAATTCGGGGCTCAGTTGAGCTCGTATGTCGAGGACTGTCTGAATAGGAAAAATCAAATTTAAAAGCTGTGTTGGCAGCAGCCAAATAAATAAGAGTTATTGAGGACTTCTCCATTTAAAAACACTTTCTTTGGAAAGGAAACTGTGGTTCTGGAAATTGGTTTCGGACAGTATTTTTCAACTTCTGCAATTCCTATGGTTTCCCGAAAATAAGACCCTGTCTTGTTTTGGGGTTTTTGCCAGCAAAAAAGGCACCAGGTCTTATTTCCGGGGGATGTCATCCACTGACTAACCTCACTTATGTGCGTCGCCCCTGCCTCCTTTTCGCTGTTAGAGGCCTTCAGGAACTACTTCTTCTGTGGCCGGTAAGGCTTTCCTGAAGGCTGATAATAGAGCTCTGGATCGATCCAGAGCTTTATTATCAGCTCCAGAGGCCTTCAGGAAAGCCTTGCCAGCTGCAGAAGAAATGGGCCGGCAAAGCAGGTGTCGGAGTGTGCCAGGCCTGGCTACACCTGTCCAAAGGTAAATAGTAGGGCAGCTCCACTCCCCCATCCCCACCCTAGCTAGATTTTTACCCGTGGGTGGGATCTTAGTTAGGGCTTATTTTGGGGGTAAGGCGTATATTTGGGCGCACGTGTAAAAACCAAGCTAGGACTTTCAGTGTAGGTCATATTTTCAGAGAAACGGTATAAGATGTGTGGACGTCAACTCCCAGAATTCCCCAGCCAGAATTGTGGGAGTTGAAATCCATACATCTTAAATTTACGGAGGAGGTCCGAGGGAAAACTGGTCCAGAGAGAGAGAGAGAGGCCCGTATGCTTTTCTCTCGATCTGACCTGTTTTTGCAATCACCGGGAGCCATACCTGTTGAATTCCTGCCTGCCAACCTGCGACTTCTGTGTGCTAAATAAGGCCAGCTCGCCCTCTGCCAACCTTGAGAACCACAGCGTTCAAAAAACAAAGATCAAAAGACAAGTAGCGCATTAGGAGAAGGGAAGTAAAGGGAAAGAGAAGTGTTGATGGACAAAGGGCAGGCCGAAAACAAACAGGAAGTAGGGAAGGTTGAAATCAAGACATCACCTTCTGGATCTAGGGGTTCTTCTGTCCCCGTAAGTTGTCCTACCGGCGGTGGCCAGGGCAATACTTTATTCTCCTGTATGTCTACTGCAAGGGGAAAGGGATGTTATGAGGATGGGTTGGGAGAGTTTGTAGAAGAGTAGAAGACAGAAGAGCATGGAAAGGAAGGAGGGAGGGAGAAGATAACGGGAGGAATGAGAAGAGGAAAAAGACAAAACCGGCATGATAAAAAAGAAATGATTGAAACCAGACAGAACAGATAGACAGACATGGGTAGACCAGAGGAAGTCCCCTACTACAAGCTTACTAAGTCCGTCAAGAAACGATGGGCAAATCATATCGGAAGGCCCATCTTCCTACCAATGCATTGCTGGTGGAAAGGAGAGATCGACATTTTTATTGCACTTACCTTGTCCAACGGACCCTGGACTGATACGCAGTCCAATGAAACCTCATTTAATGGACAACAGAGGGGGAGGAGCTGCCTGTTATTCCCAAATGTCCACTAAACACAAAAAATGACATCACGCTCGCGTTGGGATGCAACTCGTGCCTTTGGTGTTATAACAGAAGAACAGGGTTGGAATGGACTTTGGAGGTCTTCTAGTCCAACCCCTTTCTCCTGCAGGAAACCCTACACCATTCCAACAAATGGTTCCAACCCTCTTTTTAAAACCCTCCAGTGATGAAGCTCCCACAACTTCCGAAGGCAACTTCTGTTCCATGGGTTGATTGTTCTCCCTGTCCGAAAATTTCCCTCTCACCTATGGGATTCATCGCTGCCACATAGTTGAAGAAAGTGGGAGGGGGGTGATGTGAACTGAGTAGTTCTTAGTAGACAAAATATATTATTTTGATGGTTCAAGGTTACAGAGTGTGGCGCAGAAAGGATTAGAACTTACTTTGGGATTGGTGCACGTGATCTGGTGATGAAGGAAAAAGGGGAATGGGTTGTAGCTTGGGATTTTTGTGGGAAAGCCGGGAAGATTTAGTTCCGGATTTCCCCAGAATGTGCCAGGTACTGTTCTAATAAAAGTACTTTGAGATGGCGTGAGTCTTGGAGTTACCGGAAGGAATGGATTTTCCCTGGAATGCTGACATTCCCCTTATTTCCAGGTTGAATCTCTCCTTGTTCAGGTTCCATCCATTATTCCTTGCCTGGCCTTTGGATACCTTGGAAAATAGCTTGACCCCCTTCCTCCTCTCTGTTATTCAGTTATTATTCTGTTATTACTGTTAATCTTCTCATCACTCCTTATCACCCATCTCCTCCCACTTGTGATTGTAGGGCTGTAACTTTGTCGCTCGTATCTTTACGATTTAAATGGACTGTTACCTAGTATGATTTGATTGTTGATTGTACCCTATGACTATCATTAAGTCCTGTACGTTATGATTCTTGATTCTTAACGAATGTGTCTTTTCTTTATATATACTGAGAGTATTTACACCAAGACAAATTCCTTGGGTGTCCAATCACACTTGACCAATAAAGAATACTATTCTATTCTATTCTATTCTATTCTATTCTATTCTATTCTATTCTAATTCTAATTCTTATTCTATTCTATTCTATTCTCCTATATTCTGTTCTTTTCTATTCTATAGTCTATTATATTCTCTTCTCCTCTCCTGTTCTATTTTCTATTCTATTTTCTATTCTATTTTCTATTCTATTTTCTATTCTATTCTATTATCCTATATTCTCTCCTGTTCTATTCTATATATTCTCTTCTCTTCTCTTCTCTTCTCTTCTCTTCTCTTCTCTTCCCTTCTCTTCTCCTCTTCTCCTCTCCTCTCCTCTCCTCTCCTCTCCTCTTCTCTTCTCTTCTCTCCTCTCCTCTCCTCTCCTCTCCTGTTCTATTCTATTCTATTCTATTCTATTCTATTCTATTCTATTCTATTCTATTCTATTCTATTCCCTCCTCTCTGTGGCAACCCCTCAAATATTGGAAGGCTGCTATCGTGTCTCCCTGGTCCTTCTTTTCCCTAGACTAGCCAGGCCCAGTTCCTGCAACCGTTCATCGTAGGTTTTAGTCTCCAGGTCCCCTAATCATCCCGGTTGTTCTTCTCAGCACCCTTTCTAGAGTCTCAACCTCTTTTTTCTATCGTTGGCAATCAAAATTATGCTTCGTCTGCTTAAGACAGCACTTCCCAAACCTCAATAGATTTTCCAAACTTGGGCATAAGCTGTTTTTCTTTGGATAAACCACTCACAAGACTGCTGCGCAATCACAGCAGGGGCATTTAAGTGGACTTCAAGTGTTTTTACCCAGGGATGGGATTCAGCTGGTCGATACCAGTTTGGGCAAACCGGATGTTAATTTTAGGCCTGGTTCGCGGAATTGGTAGTTCCGATGAACGGCCAGCCCCGCCCCTCCCCGGAGTCACCACACGGCCCGTTTTGGATCCCGGGTAAGTCCAGGGGGAATGTGGAACCCAGGGAGGGTGAAAATCAGGCCTCCCGGAAGTCCGAAACGGGCCTGTTTTTGACCTCCGGAGGGCCTCCGGAGCCCGGGGGAGGTCATTTTCGCCCTCCCAGAGGCTCAAGGGGATTGTCCAGAGCCTGGGTGGGCAAAAACGCCCCCTCCCCCTGCCATAGTGCATATAGACTGGGTGAAACCAGGCTCAATAGCAGGAACTGGGAGAGGGATCTTGGTGTCTTAGTGGTCAACCAGCTCAATAGGAGCCAGCCGTGTGCAGCAGCAGCCCAAAAAGCCAACGCAATCCTGAATTGCATTAACAGAGGGATACAATCAAGATCAAGTGAGGTACTAATACTACATTATAAACCTTAGTAAGACCACTCCTAGAGTACTGCATCCAGTTTTGGTCACCACACTATAAAAAAGATGTTGAGACTCTAGAAAAAGGGCAGAGCAACCAGGATGATTAGGGGACTGGAAGCTAAAACATATGAAGAACGGTTGCAGAAACTGGGTCTGGCTAGTCTTGGAAGAGAAGGACCAGGGGAGACATAATAGCAGTCTTCCAATGTTTGAGGGGCTGCCACAGGGAGGAAGGATTCAAGCTATTTTCTAAAGCACCCAAAGGCCAGACAAGGAATAATGGATGGAAAGTGATCAAGGAGAGATTCAACCTGGAAATAAGGAGAAACTTTCTGACAGTGAGGACAATCAACCCATGGAACAGAAGTTGCCCTCGGAAGTTGTGGGAGCTTCATCACTTGAGACTTTCAAGAAGAGACTGAACTGCCACCTGTCAGAAATGGTGTAGGGTCTCCCGCTTGGGCGGGGGGTTGGACTAGATGATCTACAAGGTGCCTTCCAAGTCTGATTATCTGTTGTCTGTTAGGGCAACCAGGCCATGCCACCATGGCCACGGCCACCCAGCAACCGGGCAGAGAATTACTTGCTGAAATTTTTGACTCCCACCCCTGGTTTTACCTATACAGGTAGTCCTGGACTTAAAACCACAAAGGAGCCCCAAATTTCCATTGCCAAGCAAGACTATGAAGAGTTTGGCTCCATTTTACAACATTTCTTGCCACCGTTGTTAAATGAATCACTGCAGTTGTTAAGTGAGTAACACAGTTGTTAAGTGAATCTGGCTTCTCCATTGACTTTGCTGGTCAGGAAAGTTGCCAAGGAGGAATTACGGGACTTCCAGAAAAACTACGATCCCCATAAATATATGTCAGTGGCCGAACATCTGAATTTCGGTCACATGACCACTGCAACGGTCGTTAAGTGTGAAAACCTATAAAGTGTTTTACAGGTGGCACCTTCCTCCTTCGAGATTAGCGAAGATGCACCCCAATGTGAGTCCGAACTGCTGGAAATGCAAAAAAAACCCAAAAAACCAGAGGGAACTTTCTTCCATATGTGGTGGTCCTGTACAGAAGCTCAAAAATATTGGCAGAAAATTAGAAATTGGCTGGAGGAAATGACAAGAGAACAGATCGAATTTAAACCAGAGTCCTTTCTATTAGGAATCTTTGATAAAGAATTACCCCAAAAAGTGAAATATATAATAATACATATTTTGACAGCGGCTAGATTGGCTTTTGCACAATGTTGGAAACAGCCTCATGTTCCATCAGAGGAGATGATTATTCCAAAAATTTCAAGTTGTGGAGAAATGGACAAATTAACCTTGGCATTAAAAGATAAAGATACTTGAATATATTAACGACAGCTGGAACAGCTGGTACAAATGGATAGATCAAAGACAGGCTTCACACTAAAAGGCAAAAGAAGATATGATAGAATATACAGATATACAGGATTAATTGTGTATATGGTATAAAATAAGGATAAAAAGGAAGTCTCACAAATCGTTGAAGATGAAAATGTTTTTAATTGTTTTCTATCTTCTTCTTTCTATTCTCTCTTTTTTTCTCTTGTTTTCTTTTACTCTCTTGCATTTTTGTGTGTGTCGTTGGTCTATTGTAATTGTAAAATCAATAAAGTATTTTTTTTTAAGTGTGAAAACCGGCTATAAGTCCCTTTTTTCAGTGCCGTTGTAAGTTCAGACAGTCACTAAATAAATGGTTATAAGTCAGGAATGGCCTGCGCCTCGGTTTTGGATAATGAAAGAAAAAGTTTTAGAAACAGTGGCTTAAGTATATTATGATGCCAGAGGCAAAAAAAAAATCTTTATGCACGTTGTAAAGTTAGTGTCAATTTAATCAGTTCCGCCCAAATACTTTAATTGGGGGGTGGTTTGCTCAGAGGCTAAAAAAAGATTTACGAGTAGATCTGAAATCACAGCCTGATTTTGGGGAGGAAAGCAGCTTGCTTGAGCTAATTTGAGAAAAGACCAATTAGTGTAACACGAAGGCACCAGAAAAAATGCTCAGAAAAGCTGCCCCGTATTGAACTTAAAAGTAAATTGGGTTCTAACACAAATCTCGTTCTGTCGCTGAGATTTCCCCGCTTCCGGCTCTCCATAAATCTTGTTAAAAAGGACTTATTGAGAATTTACTTTGGGTTGAACCCAAAGGATGGAAAATCCTTGATTTCAGAATAATACCTGGAGCAGGAGTGCCCAGCCTTGGCCATTTTAAGACTTGTGGACTTCAGCTCTCAGAATTCCTCAGACAGCATGTCATAAATCCCATTTTT